CCCGTCCACCCCATCTGCGAGTTCCTGACCGAGGAGTCCAAGGTCCGCGTCTTCAACACCACCGAGCAGGACGAGCAGGGGTCGAAGGTCACGCACTACTTTGAGCAGACCTCCTTCCTGCATGGGGAGATGGAGTGGCAGAAGAAGCTGAGGAGTGAGTGGGCCGGCCGCCGTTTCCATGACGACGCCACGTCATTTCCATGACGACGGGACAGTCTCCCGATGCAAGTCCGGCTGACTGTGTGTCTCTCTGTGTGTATCTGTGTGTCTCTCTGCGTGGTTGTGTGTCTCTCTGTCTGTGTGGTTGTGTGTCTCTGTGTCTCTCTGTATGGTTGTGTGTCTCTCCCTGTGGTTGTGTGTCTCTCCCTGTGGTTGTGTCTCTCTGTGTGGTTGTGTCTCTCTGTGTGGTTGTGTGTCTGTGTGTAGGCATGCCGGTGCTGTACTGGTTCTCCAGGAGGATGAGCCTCTGGGGGACCATCTCCTTCAAACTGGCCGTCTTCATCAACCTCATCATCGCCTTCTTCTACCCCTACAACTCCGGCCAAGGTGGGTACTGACCGGGGGGGGGTCGCCCTGCTCCCCCCCCCATGCTGGTTCTGCTTGGTTCTGACCGGGGGTCTCCTCTGTGAGTGCCCCCAGATTAATTTTAAATCTGACAGGCTAACGTATGCTGATCTGACAGGCTAACGTATGCTGATCTGACAGGCTAACGTATGCTGATCTAACAGGCTAACCTATGCTGATCTGACAGGCTAACGTATGCTGATCTCACAGGCTAACGTATGCTGATCTCACAGGCTAACGTGTGCTGATCTGACAGGCTAACGTACGCTGATCTGACAGGCTAACGTGTGCTGATCTGACAGGCTAACGTGTGCTGATCTGACAGAGTATCTGCTGTGTGACCCCCCCCCCCTGCAGCCGGAGCCATCGACGACTCTCTGCTGCTGATGATGTTCTGGGTTCTGGCGGGTCTCTCGGTCCTGGGTCTGCTCTCGCAGCGCCACGGCCTGCAGCCGCTCACCGGCGCCCTCATCCTGCGCTCCATCTACCACCTGGGGATCGGCAACACGCTCGTCCTGCTGGGCTCGCTCAACGTGAGGACCCCCGGGGGGGGCCGCCACCCCGCTCTGTGCCCAAAGAGGCCCAGTGAGACCCAATGAGGCCCAAAGAGACCCAATGAGACCCAAAGAGGCCCAAAGAGACCCAATGAGGCCCAAAGAGACCCAATGAGACCCAATGAGGCCCAAAGAGACCCAATGAGGCCCAATGAGGCCCCAAAAGGCTCAATGAGGCCCAGTGAGGCCCAGTGAGGCCCAGTGAGGCCCAATGAGGCCCAAAGAGACCCAATGAGGTCCAATGAGTCCTGGGGGTGCCCCCCCCCCACCCCAGAATGATCATTTGGACTTTTTTCCAGCTGGGGGCTCCTGTATGGAAGCCTAAAGGGCCAAACAAACAAACAATCAGTTCATGTAGACTCCCTCTGGTGGCAGAACAGGGAATTACATGCAGACCCCTTTCTTTTGCCCCGGGGGGTGTTGTGCCTGCTCTGCTCTGCTAACCCCCCCGCGCCCCTCCTGTCTGCAGCTCATCAACAAGGTGGTGTTTGTGGTGAGCTTTGTGGGGAACAACGGCACCTTCATCATGGGCTACAGAGCCATGGTGATGGACGTGGAGTTCATCTACCACCTGGCCTACGTCCTGACCTCCACGCTGGGCCTGTTCGTGCACGAGCTCTTCTACAGCATCCTGGTGAGGGGGGGGGGTCCTGGGGCCAACCAAACGCACTGTCATGACGTCAAATCCAAAATCAAACTGCTTAGACCCAATAGGAGCCCATAGAAAAGGTCCAACAGGTGACCTGGGAGGAAGTCCTGGTTGCCATGGTGATCTGATCACAAAAATAACTCGGACTTGTTTTGTGCATCCAATATTTACATGTGGAAAAGGTGACCATGGGTTCTCTTTGCTTTGTGTTCAGGTTTCTGGACTCATACTGTTTATTATCTGCACTTTTTTGTCGGGTGCCAGATGTTTTGCCCCAGATGCTGATAAACATAAAATCTACAAATACACTGATTTACAATTTCAGCTTCTTTAAAAAACAAAATCAGATGAGAATGAATTTAGAAAGTTATACATTCTGTTTATTTCAACTGGTTTTAATGAGCAAAAGTAAAATTAAAAAAGAATTAATTCTGTTCATTTGAACTGGTTTTAATAAACAGAAATTAGATGAATTTAGGTGAAAAAGGTTGTTGATTCCTGATGGTGATGGTGATGGTGGGTCAGGTTGTGTGCAGTGATGATGTGTGTGTGCAGTGATGATGTGTGTGTGCAGTGATGATGTGTGTGTGCAGTGACGATGTGTGTGTGCAGGGATGATGTGTGTGTGTAGGGATGATGTGTGTGTGCAGTGATGATGTGTGTGTGCAGTGATGATGTGTGTGTGCAGGGATGATGTGTGTGTGCAGTGATGATGTGTGTGTGCAGGGATGATGTGTGTGATGTGTGTGTGCAGTGATGATGTGTGTGTGCAGTGATGATGTGTGTGATGTGTGTGTGCAGCTGTTTGACCTCATCTACCGGGAGGAGACGCTGTTCAACGTGATAAAGAGCGTGACGCGTAACGGGCGCTCCATCCTGCTGACCGCTCTGCTGGCCCTCATCCTGGTCTACCTGTTCTCCATCGTGGGCTTCCTCTGCCTCAAGGAGGACTTCATCATGGAGGTGGACCCCCTGCTGCTGCCCCCC